TTTCTCAGGGTGACCTTATAATTATGAAACGGTGCAAAAGCCGACACTATCTTTAAAAAATTCATAAAAAATTAGAGGTGAAGGATATTGCGACCAAAATTTGATGACGGAGGTACATTGTGATGAGGAATCTTCCTGTGTTTGCCAAAAATTCCATTCCGGCTGCTTTCTCCAGAACAGCAAAAATCGAGGGTGACCTTATAATTATGAAACGCACTGTATACAGCTAAAACCGAAGATATGCAATACCTCTCGCGTTAGCCCGAATGGTCGAAAAGGGCTGATGGAAAGCAGCATAGTTAGAGACATCAAATGCTCACTACTAGTGGAAAATGCGCAAGGTGGGTAGGCCTAAATAGACATAAAATTTACGCGATGGCCTTTCTAGCTTGCGAAAAGAAAGTTGTTTAAGACTAGCGAATAAGCAGACGTCGCATGCAATAGCTAGCGGTTTGTCAAAAGACATATCTTCAATATTTTTCAGTGTTTCAGTTGCGAGTTGTCTCTTCTTTTTATTCATTGAGACGTATTATCGAACTAATACCTTGTGTAGGTGTAAAAATAAACTAAAATAAACTATCACAATGCTGACCTTATGAGTGGTTTTTTCAATCATTCTTAAAATGATTAAATTGAAAATGGATTTGGGGTCGGAAGCAAGCATGTTTTTGGTTCATGAAATTATAACCTCTACGACTTTCTCCAGATTGATAACCAATAAAACTGCATTTCTTTTTGCAGAAGAATTGGGTGGAGCGGTAGACTTGAGTGCGGTCGTTGTTGATGATGATGCTGAAGAAGAACTGGCGATGGTGATGGATAAGGCTCGTCGTCTTAGGCAGGTTGTTGTGAAGAAAGAAAACGACGATGTGGCGCAAAAGGTCCGAGCAGTTCTCGTCTTACGTCTCGTTTAATGCTCAGTTTCTTTTCTTTCTTTTAACAGCGAAGTCACACCACCTATCTCAGAAAGTGTGTCAAGTGAGTTTTATATATTCAGGTTCTTGAGATGGTTTCATCACACAACATCAAGATGGAAGTCGATGATGATGGTGATGTCGTACAAAATAGCGCTTTGAAAGAGGAAGTGGTAACCTTGGATTCAACAATGGAATACTGTAGAAATATTGGTTAGCCCATATTCATCACCTGGGAAACCTGCTGCTGGTCGTAATTTGTATTTTAGGAGAGATACCCACATATGGTTTGGCCGGTAATCGGACCGACGCTATAGATGTCTCTGAAATGAAGCAAGAAGATGGAGAAGACGACACAGCAGAAATAAGGTCAGTTTCTTTCGATTTCTCTATTCTCGAGTTGAACAAACATTTCTCTTCAATGTCAATTTTGCTTCTACTTCATGCTCTAATTGAATGGTTTTAGTATGTTAAGGCTCAGAATAAACTCATATTATGTTAAGGCTGCTCAGAGCCTAACTCAATGTGTATCTTTCAAGCATCATTTTCAGTGATCTTTTATTTCAGGAAGTGGAAGCAGGCACAAGCAGAGAAGGAGCTACGTCGTAAAGAGCGGCTCCTACAGAAAGACAGCAAGGGTAGAAGGATTAATAAACCCAGCACCAGTAGCGCTGCTATTGACAGTGACGACGAGCAACGTTTGAGGGAGGCAGAAGATGCTGTTAGTTTATACTCATCAAACCGTACCTGATTTCACTGCTCTCTCTTGTTTAAGGCTTATTCTGATGATGAGTATTCCGACGCTGGTGGAGTCAAAAAGGAGTACGAAAACGTGCTTGGAAAGGAAGCTGACGTATCCAAAGGTGTAGGCGCGATGTTGAAGTTGGCTGCACAAAAGGTTCTTTGAAGTTTGATTGTTCCCAGTTTTATTTAGTTCAATTTATTATCGTATCTGTTTTTTTTTTTGCCCCGTAACATTGACGTATAACTGAGTACTCTGACTTTATTCTGACTGGGATTATGAAAACACTCTTTTTAGGGTTATCTGAATGATCCAGAAACAAAGAAGAAAACAGGTCAAAATCTGGATCATCTGCGCAACCAGTCCAAAACTCAAATTGAACAAGGAAAATAGTAAGTCAAGTTGCTTGCACCAGTATATGTCCATCATTATGCTTCATTTATAACTAACGAGTGTATATTGCAGTGACATTGAAGATAAATACGCCAAAAAATTAGATCGTCTCGGTACCACTGGTCGTGGCCCTATAATGCCCTTCATTGAAAAGAAGGATTACCGTCCAGAGGTGCGACTCTGTTGCATGTCCATTTTTTCTTAGGCAGCTGTATTTGTGTGTTGTTGAGCTCATAGTCATTTCAAGGTGAACATTCATTACGTCGATGAGAAGGGTCGCGTCATGGATCAAAAGGATGCTTACCGGGAACTCTCTTACAAGTAGCGTAACTGTTTCTTCAGTGTTGTATTTCCGCATGACATCTATCCTATTATTCTCCATTTTCTAGGTTCCATGGACGCAATCCCGGAAAGAAACAAACGGAGAAACGAATATCTAGACGAGATAAGAAAGAAATGTTGAAGCAGGTTTGTTGTTATACTGATTTTTTCTGAAATGCCGTAAGATCGCCCTCGAAAGGTTTCTTTGAATGTTAAATTTGTTAATGTTGTTCTAGTTCCTGAGTTTTTATAGATGAACAGTTCCGATACTCCTCTTGGTACGCTTTCAAAACAGTTGAGAAAACAGGAGCAGCTGCAGACACCATACCTCGTGCTCAGTGGATCAGGACGAAGTGACCAGTATGTTTTTTCGTTCCTGTAGAATAGAGTTTCTAGCATTTTATAGTGTTAGATTTCCTTATTTATTTGAATTCTATAACACGGTGTGTATGAAAATATGAAGAACCCATTGAGCTCATATACTGCAATGAAAAATGCAACTTTTATTTAAGCGGCCTCAAGCAGAAGTTTTTCAACAAAATCAAGGAAAACTTTCTGTAAGGGTATTTGGGATGTAGTCTGCATCCTACATTTCATATTCCTCTAATAGAGCTACCAGTTGAGAAAGTATGATATTATATTGGTAAAATCAGGTATGAAAAGGTAATATTAATGATCGGAAACATATCCAAGTCATGATCGCTTTGATGAGTGGAGCGGTCGTTATTCTACCTTATGGACTTAGATAAAGATATCGACCTTTTCTTATTTGCTTGGAGGTGCTCACTTGTAATGCAGTTGTTATTAAGAAAAACCTCGGTGCCAGCGAAGTATACAAGTAAAAGAAATAGTCCAAGCTGCTCGGATATGCAAAAAATGCCAATGTAGCAACCGATTATCCTTTACAGTGTATGTCTCAATAACTTGGAAGAACCTTTTGTGGATAGTGCAAGATTGCCGGCCTTGAATTGTTGAAGAATTGATACTTTGCCGAAATAAGTGTTTCGTGGATGTAATTTTCTGCCAGCGGTGAGACGCACGGCCATGAACCATCACTTAAGAAAAGTATAGAACACCTGCTTAGTGAAACATGCAAGGCCAGCAATCTTGTTCAGTCCACAAGCAAACAATCACATCAAGTGCTGAGAATGAAGTACCTACAGTAGTGAGCAAATCAGCGCTTTTCAACCTTTCCCGGGATGGGCTGTTCCGATGATTCTAATGTATCCGGTGGTAACTGGAGTCACTCAGCCCTTTGACAACTAGAGAGTTAATGATCATGATCACTTCACAAGTAGAGATTACTGGGTTGACTCCACTCTACCTCTACTCAGGGTGCATTACATAGTATGTTGATGGTTTCAGTAGATAGTTCTCTTATTCAATATTCATAGGTTTTATTTCAGTACGTCGCTGAAGAAGGAATGATAAACGGTTTGGTGGCTGGTCGCTAGAATTCACCTGGCTTGTTCAACTAGATTGTTTGGTTTAACTTGTCTTTTTTGATAGTTAATAATAATTATCTATGATCTTTTTCATGCGGTTACAGAAGGAAACTGCTGTTACCTCTATTTCAATGATTTTGAAGGTTTTTGTTGACTGTTGATTACCATCAGAGAGCATTGAATGTACATGTGAAATAAGATAAACGTGACTATGCTTCGATTGATCTTCTTTCTTGTGAAGGCTTGCGTGATGTACTGTTTCACCCACAGTTTTAACATTTTCTCCTAGTACTGTCGCAATTGCATGATTGATCTCTCGGGAGTGAAAACGAAAGATAGACGTTTCTAGATGAAAAGACAAACCTATTTTTGAGCTTTTACTCCCACTAGTAAGGTTGTACATAGAATCAATACGAATGGTCAAGATTTTGTGGTAGCAATCTGCGATGCTTGAATTATCTGCATAACTAAACTTGTGGGAGCGCATTGGCTCTACGAATTAACCCTTTTACTCGAAAACTATGCGAAACTTTAGCAATAAGACACCTTTTTTTCTGACATCATAAGGAAACCATTGCCTACCTTTAAACCACTCAACTCTTATTCAAGCGCGGGTGCGCTTTGGAGGAAATGTAGCAACCTTTTGTCAGTATCCCTTCGTAATTAAGTCATTCTCGTATCTAAAAATCATTGCTCTCCACCTTGCTTTGTTTCAATGTCAATTGCCTTCGTGAAGAATATCGCGTTCAAGTTATCGTTCATGAAGGATACCCTCATCACGACTTTTGCTAAATAATCCTTTTTTCTTTTGCTCTCTGTGCTCTCTGGAAGATTAAGATGTCCAAAGGCTACGCATGATCTTTGATCTGACAACTGATTATCATCAAGTTGTGTCAACATCGTCGTGAATTCTCCACCATTTCTTCGTATATCTGCAATAATGATTACAGGCACAGTTCACGATATGTTTGAAAGCCTTTTCATGCTGAAAAGCGAGTTGGTCACCCTTAACGCCGAGCTCGGTGACGACGAGAGAGAAAAAATCGGGAATATAGGGCATGCTAAAAGTAGCGAAAGCAGGGGTTGTACGAGTTCACCTTGACGGTAATGCTCATCCATATACCCCCTTTATGGGGCATATGGACGAGATCCTATGTTGCAGGTGCGTAAAGCTGTCTGCATAGGACAAAAACTATCCCCATGAATATAGTTCTTCGACAGTCTCACAAGGTTGGCGATTTACGGACAAACTTCAGTCTCGGACGGGACTCGAACCCGTACATGTCCTTCCCGGGGACCGTGCTCTTATCCTTACACTACCGAGTCCCCGCTTGCCCTCGTCTTCTTAATGGCTTATATGTTATAGCTGAAAGGCGAGGGCAAGCGGGTCTCGGTAGTGTAAGGGATAAGAGCACTTGTAAATGGTGCGGCGTATAACGTACACACCGCCGTTTAAACTCGTCCCTTGTGGTGCGGCATACAGTGGACAAAATTTTTGAAGATTGACAGATTCAACACTCTAGGAAACTTTCTCTTTTGTCAACTGTGCCTTTAAAGGAATGTTCCCAATAAAAAGCACTCGATAACAAAGCTGTGAGGTCGACATAATGGAGTTGTCAATTTTATCCTACACACATCAAGCACCACAAACAATATTACAACATAACAATATGAAAATGACCAATGACCTCTATTTACAGAATATTAGTTATTTATAGACTTTGATGCACTCGATGAAATTAGTCGTGTAACGAGAAAGAGCTCTCAATGCGGAGCTCACTAGTTGACTTATCAGGTCATTGTGAAAGGTGCTACGGTCGACAGTCTGAGACCTTTTATCAGTTAGCAAGAGTTAAACGAATAAGTTAAAGGAAGCTGTGTTACAATGATAAAAAGACAAGTTAGTCGGTCGAACCAACTTACAACATGCCGTATGAGCAATGGGAAGTGCACTTCATCATAAAAGGCTACATCATAGAACTCTGACGCACGTAATATCCAATGACACAATTTTTGATTTTTTAGAAATAACCTTGGAGAAATACAGAGACGAACAGTACGTAAGGATGTAATAACTCAAACTCGCAAAATTTCCAATCGGTTCGCATAACAAATCGAAATCCAATCAGGGAACGTAGTCGACCAATGTATTTGGTTAACCTGAAAGCACTCTATAAAATGCCAAGCCTACGCAACTAGGCTAACTTCATGATTCTTTGAAAACGGCGTAAGGATCAATTCCATATTAGGTACTTTAGAAGCATGTAGTTCGAGCACTTGTTGATGAAAGTGTACATTATTGCATATTCTTTGCGTTAAGCCGCTTTTTACCCATATCTCAGGAGAGCGGAGAGCGAATCTTCGCCCGTTCTCGGCAAAAGACCGAGGGTGAGTTCCCAATACCGTTGCGAGACAGCTCACACTACAAAAAAAGGGCGGAGGGGGTGGGGGGAGGGGGGGGGGGGGGGGGGGGGGGGGGGGGATAGAAGCGGATCGACTAGCAAGGGTCAAATGCCTACAATAGAGATCTAAAATAGTAATTAAAGATTATATTAATACCTTGGGAATGAGAACATCTCTTAGCAGACTCTCTAATGAGAGAGGATTCGGTGGGCGAGGTTTCACTGGGGAAAGGAATGCAGATAATCGCGAGATTATCTACTATACATTTACAGATAGCGAGCATTGGGTCACGTCAACACTGACCTCTTTCCTGATTATTCAATCGGACTAGAGATACTACCTACAAACAATACCAACAGAGTGATCGCTTTAAAGTGTGGGGAAAGCTAGCAACATTGTTTCGCAAATATCAAAAATCTCAACTGAATCAATTCAAAATATAACTCTGAACATACTTCGCCTGCAGCTTGATATGCTAAAATCGGATCAAGTATTGGTCTTGGTATCTCATGGACATCCCATATCAATGCTTGAGCATCATCAGCTAAAAATATGTTTTCCATTCGGCAAAAATGAATGAATATAATGAATCAAACCTGCTGTGCAAATATGGGTACTGGAGTGCGGTGCCCAAGACAAGCCATTTATAGGGGCACGATGATTTGCTAACTTTGCCACTGGATGACATGGAATCCGCATATCCAAGATTATCACCTAAACTAATCCAATTTGACAGATATTCGAATATGATTGAGGATAATTTCCGCGTTGATAAATTTCATCCCCGGACGCGCCACCCGTTCGACTCGAACTTCTGAGTCGTTCCATTCAAATCGAATTTAGCCCACAAACCTCTACAATACAAAACTATTAAACTCGTCCGAGAATACACACGGGACAATATTTAAGCATTTATAACGCTCTGTCTAAGCCATTTTCTGAAATTTCTTAGCGGGATTTCCCATAAGCCATTTCTGTCGAGAACAGTGCCTTCAAGCAAAAAAAAAACACCAAAATTTGAAAGCGACATGAAGTTTGTACAAATATTGATGCAAGAGGCTTAATAATAGGAAATAAAAGTTCGCATTGCTTTTCGAAAACAGTCTGCGCATATTGGAACAAAAAATGAACAATTAACGAAAATGTAACCACGGGTAAACTTAAGAATGCGCGTGAATAGGGAGATCACATAGCACGAACCTCGAATACCTGTACACGTAATGTCGTGATGTAATGCCCTCGGAGATGGCTTTATTGCGGGCAGAAATACTGTGGAAAAGGCAAGAAAGATTTGTCTTCACTGATTATGTGACTAGGTGACGCCGATCCTTTGATTGCGACGAGAGGATTTTTTTTTTCGAAATATCAAAGCTTATCGCATCATGTATTTGATTGCTCAGAGTCGAGCATGACATGAAGCTATTGAAATGCTCATGACAAACTATCAAAAAGGATCTTCAGTTAGAGGCTCTGTGTGGATGCTGTCATGAAGTTGGTGATGAAACGAAGCAGTGCTACCGCACTACTGTGATCGTTTCAGAGCAAAATAACAATGAGTCAAAAGTTAGAAATCGAGTAAAAAAGATGGACTGATATCTGCATGTGAAGCTACTGACCTCATTACTTTCGCAAGCAAAAGTTGCTATATAATTGTGATCATTGCGATTCCATCCTAATCTCAGCAACGGTGTTCGCTGTGGATCTTCGTATATGATAGTGGAGTGCTCAAGATGTCGAAGATCAAACAAACGAACACTACCATCGGCACCTGAAACAATTGGGTAGAGCAAGGTTATGAATCCAGGCTCATCTATAAATCCACCTGAACACCTCATCTCTGTTATGCAAATTACTTATTATGGGGCTGCTGCATAAGTAGCACAAGCAATGTTGTTTTTTGAATACTATTCTACGTTTATTATGTCAAAAATAAAAGGTATTTATCAGGACTACAAAAACGACATGACCTGCTTCAATGGCTAATCCATAAGCTTTAGGTGATCTCGAGTTCGCGAAATTGGAGGTCGAGATGACAAAAATTAAGCAAACCTGAGCTTCTGCGACTCAGTTCCTATTTTCCATAGAAAGAAAGCAGTCAGCTATGAATAGCTTACTTCATTCACCTCTTCATGAAATTTTATAGCTAGACGCTCCGTTAACCGATGAAACTTAAGAAAGTAATACATTCATGACACAGCATGCGAGCCCTGAAGTTGTAGTCCAGGGTAAAACAAAGGGCGATGTGAAAAACTCAAAACTCTGATTGAGGTGTCAAATAAGCATATGGTTGATCACTGATCGCTGCTACAACGGCCTATAGCTACGGCATATGACATTTCTTGCAGAATCCATGCAGCGACTAAGAAAACCGAGAGAATAGCAATGCACAAAAGCTATCAAGGTTGACTAGTAATCATCAGTAACGACAATATGCTGTGAAGGAAAAGAAAACCTACCAACGCTTGCAAACATATCTCTATTCCCTCTGCTGAACGAAATATCGAAAACTTCCTTATCGTGAGCAATGAGTTGCGTACGGACCGATCCATCAACAGTGACTCGGGTAGTGCCAATAGCTTGCCCAGTCTAAATACATGTGTGCAAAGTACTGATAATAGAGGGCAAATATAAGTGAATAACCTCAAGTTGCCACACAGTGCAGGTTGTATCTATACTACTTGTGCCAATAAGATTGAGGTCTAACTCGTTCCAGTCGAACGAAGTCAGCGGAGCACAATACTCAGCCGTACGGTTCGTGTTGAGGAGCGTTTCAATTTTTGCATTATTGTCAGCTCCTAGCTGAACCAATATTAAAAATATCCTTTCAAATACATCTCATCACTCGAATCTTATAAAACGCAAACAAATAGAAGCACTCACCCTCCACAACCTTAGGTAGTCGCCACTTGTAGCGATCAGGTCCGGATAAGTTCCTTTGGCATCTGGGATCCACATCAACTTGGTGGCAGGGTAGGGGTGATCAAATGTACTCCTCAAAACTAATTCACCTACATTCTCGTCTAGTTGTACAATTGAAACCTGAAAAACAAATTCATACGCTATCTCGAAGCATGAATAAAAAAGTGTTTGAATGTTAATGCGAAAGCTGATAGTACTGTCTGTTAGCAAATACGGTAGTGTGCATACGATTCCTTAAAATTATGTATGAGCTGAGAATTACACACCTTATTACTGTATTCCTCGATGAAACTACTGACAGCAAGACGAAACCGCCGCTGAGGGTCCGTAGCACAACTCCATGCACTTGCATACAAATTATATGGAGCATCATAACCATAAATTTCCTGAAATCACAACTCTTGACTTCACAACCGAACTACTGCTGACCAGTCCATGACAAAATATACCTTGCGTTTATCCTCTTCCCGAACAGTAGCTCCCATATTAACATCTTGATTCGATGGACCGGCGGCGTCCATTGACTGTAAATTATTGTTTGGAAACGTATTTCCATGCCACTCACGGACGCAAAAATCGACAAGAATTATAAAGATACGTCGTAAACGTCGGTCTGCATCAACTGAGGAGTTGGCTGTTGAGGTGTCAAGTAGGGTTGCTGAGGTTGTGGCTGCATACCATAACCACCAACCATCATATTCATAGATGAAGAAGCTGTGAAAACAAGATATCAAAGTCAAACTTAACCATGAAGGACACGGAAATGAACTCACTTTGAGGTAACATATGAACATTGGGGTGATGCATTGCAAAGCCGTGGGCTTGGTGAGAATGTTCCATTCCTATTGGATTTGAACTCTATAATACAAAACATAACAAAAACATCAGATACAAATTCTCTCTGTAGGGATCATTCAAATATGTTTCCATTACACAAGACAGATTTATGCTACATATTATATTTGTTGCAGAATGAAAATACATTTGTTATATTATACCTACTGAATTGTTTTGTATATTAAACAATAAGGTGAGGTACCCACTTCTAGTTTGAACAGGTACCTCATGAATCATGACAGACACTGCTTCCGTGAATGTACAAATAGCACTTATAGTAACTAGAGAGGCCTCCAAAACGTAGATCACTGAGTCAAACTCGTGAATTTTGGTGAAAGTGCCAAATAAGAAGAACGCAACGTGCACACCAATTTTGAAATGATTGGGTCACACCAGAGGCATAAAACCCGATTTGTTAAGAAATTTGGGCAAAGAAAATTGGTAAGGTTAGCCCAGCCAGACGGACAAAAGGAGGATAATTACCTATGACGTACAGTGAATAACACAACTGGGTGGATTTGTCATGGACAATTTGTAAAAAGTTTATGAAAATATAGGAGAATAAAGCTTAAAAGAAGGAACATTAAGCAAAAACACAAAAGAGGATCCCTTTGACAAACAGAACATGCAAAGAGTGCCCACGACAGTGTTAAGAACTCATGATAAGAGCTCAGGCAAGAGGTTGCCCACACGTAAGAAGCATAAATACTACGAATGAGTTGTTGCTCAAAAATCAAAAAATACTACTTGCTTTCAAGACTGTATTGTATTGTAGAAATGTGTAGACAGTCGAGAGAAAACAACAAAGTTCGGCAGCTGGCGGGGCATGCCCGAGGTAAGCGAAGTTAGCTCAAAAGGCTTTCAACTAATTCATACAGCACTAGAAAAAGGAATGGGACTGTCGTAAGTAGAGCATTTTCGGAAAGCAAATACTTCAAAGAATACGATATGAGCCGAGGAAGACGCAAAGAGAAAGAGAAGTTATCAGTCAGGATAGATCAGGCTAATTTGGATAGAGCAAAGGATGGAAGGGTTTGAAATGGGCAGTTAGAGGAAAACTTTTGATACGAGAACTGTCGCAAATGTCATAGAGTCATAGCTATCGACCACAACCAACGAACGTCGGTGTACGTGGGTGTGCGTGTGGCCGGATATTCATAACTCCTTCCTCGGAACCTAGAGCCTTCCAGTTAAAAAATGATATGTCCCACCATCCTCAAATTTGTAGGGCCGCGTCTTCGTGCAGGCTTCTTCAGAAGTTCTGACACTAAAAGAGTGAAGGTACGTATTATAAGTTATAAAGCTACATCTTATATATATGTATATACATATACATACGTATATATAACAAAAGATATAGCTTTATAACTTATAGATAGATAACTTATATAAAAGTAGATGTAACTATATTGGTTTACTTCTTGTTCGACTTATCCAGTTATCCAGATTTTGGTTCTCTGAATGACGACTAAACCCGAAGACGAATGCTGGATGGAATGTATCACAGACATTATCATTCTCGCATAATGACAAATTGATTAAGCTTACTATAAGAATGGAAACGCAACACTTTCAAATCTCATGATTCCTAACTCACAACATGCGGTTTTCCCTGCTAAATGGGATAGGGTCCAAATAAATTTGGCAACATCGCGTAGGCCTGATTGCCATTAGCACTTCGGCACTAAATAAAGTTGCTGAAAATGTAGAGCGAACTCTTTTCCTTTGCTGCCGCTTTCCTACGCAGCTATTTAAGCACAGTTTAATCGTGAGCATTTCCAGCACTTGTTCATTAATGAGATTTGGCAAGTGAATTGATGAGCAATGGAAATTTGTTCTCCCTAATTGAGGAATGTTCCTGTCCAAAATAGTACGCAGGAGAAAGAACGGCTTGGGCATTTTTGAAGCATTCATTTTTTTGTGTAAGACACTTATAGAAAGCCCAGTGATGCCGGGAACATAACCACAAAGCTTCAAAAAATATAATTACAATTTGCACTCTGTGCGTATGCAAAAGCAAGGATGGGGGAAACAGTTGATGGAAACCAAAAAAGGAAGAGCTAATAACAATTCGCGCCAAAGTAATCCTAAAAGATAACAAAACATCCTACTGTCAGAAACTGAGCAATCGCCCTAGAATATTGCCCGCACTCGAAATACAGTCGTGCGTTTTCAAGTTTATAAACCAACTTTCCTAAACACCCGAAGTTTTACGCGAACGGAACTGTTTGAAAGAATGATCCTACTGAAGAGGTGTTGTGGTCATCGCTGCAAAAGGCTAAGGTCGGAATGCAAAAAGAGACTGTTACAAAGGGTAGGAAGCCTACTTTAGGTAGTACTAAAAAAATTGTCTCAGTTTCAATCATGGATGTTGATGTGAAAGAAAAACAACTAATGCAATAATTTGGTGATAAATTACCTGGAACTCCTTCGGTGCAACAAAACGTAATACCCCACCAGCACTTTGCATTTGAAGTTTCTTGTGGATACTTCAGTTGTGCATGCGATTAATCAAGTACCTTCAAGAAAATCAAAAAGGATTACAAATCTGAAACATATCTCCTAGCAAGGTAAAATATTTCAACGATATATCGGGATCAAACCGCACTACAAACAACAAATTGAATGTACACTTCTTTATTCTCGGCAGTAGAGTAGAACATTGACAACAACTTAAAATGAGATACATTCTATGAGAACGGATATACCTTGCTTATCTCTGCAACATGAAAATACCGGGGAAAACACCTCGCCACTATTTTTTTAAATAAAACCCATCTCCGAATTTGAATTGAAATCAAGCGGCGAGCTTCAACAAGCGAGGGAGAGATCGAACAGCCTAACATAACAAAATACACGTAATAAACGACACGGTGCATAGTTATACTCGAAGAATTTCAAGCGACTTGTTGAAACAAATGCAAATCCAATTATTGTGTGCAGGACCCCAGTGCACCTGATTGACCTGAAACAATTATAGAGCTAATCTGACTTGAAGCATGAATATAAAAGGTTCGTTTCGAATCGAATTCTCATGGATTGGAAAGACAAAAATAAACTCAGCAACCCCACAACAGAAAACTACATATGCTCAAATGAGCATACCGAATTCCGAAAAACTGTACTAAGACTCAATACCTCTCCCCCTGCGGAGTAAGCTAGTATTGGATCTTCTACTGGTCGAGGCATGTTCTGAAGATCCCAAATCAATGCCTGTGCGTCATCACCTGAAAAAAATGAAGTCGTAAATGAAGAGCAAGAAAGCTCATATTAGATTGACTTCTTGATTAGTTCGTATAAGGGACCTCCAAAAAACTTAGCGAACATAATGAACAACTGACTAGCTGTACAGATATGGTGGGCGCTATGCGGAGCCCATGCGAGTCCATTAACCGCTCCATTGTGGTTCTTAAGACGCGCTAAAGGACTGCAAGGCATTCTAATGTCAATAATAATAACCTGAAAATAAAGAATACGGTGCAGCAAAACAAATAGTTCTGACAGCTATTCCGAAAAGGACGAGCCTCGGTTGAATCTTGAGCAAAGGTAGCGAGATGGTAGTGTTCCTGCTTATTCCATGCCACCCTCATCAACGGCAACTTGATAGGATCCTCGTAAACGATTGTTGAATGTTCCAAATGACGCAGGTCGAACATTCGAGCGCTTCCGTCAGCTCCTGTTGCGAATTAGTAATGACGTTCCTTTTATGAAGTAAGAAAGTGGATATTTAAAAGTAACGCTGCACATATTTCAACAGTAAGCAAGTAGTTTTACACCAATTCTGACCTGTTCGAATTTACGTAGCATCCTTACCTTGCTTGTCCATTCTTTAATTCATATTTAACATTATTACATCATATTTCAAAATACATTCTCGATTATCATCAATACATAATCAATGGTATACACATACAGGTCTCCGAAATAGGTATTCTCAGACACGGTATATCAGGCGATCTTCATAGTAAAGATACAAATAGTGGAATAGAGTACCAGCGATCTTCCCCGCTTCCACTGACGCGAAGAAAGAGCTAAGTGTACAGCGATCGACGCTGCGGCTGCATTCAGAGTTTGCGTTACCACTTCGATGTTAATGTTTATCAAAGACTTGTTGTTCATATGGTCTTCGAATTGAAACCTTTTTGCGTGACACTCCCTTTAGGTACAAGCACATGAATACGTCACGTCAACTTATTGACTGCTGATCAGCCTTAATTTTCCGCGTCTGAGGTAGAATCCTGATTACTGAATGAAAAAGGCGGTTACTTACTATCTTTTAGTTGAAACGCTTTTTCACTGCACCTAATCGATGAACACATTTCATGAGAAGAAAAGCTTAATTGCATAAACTAAACACCATCTCATGCTGTCACTCTAAGAACGGACCTGCGAGTATACCTGTATAGATCTGCAAATCTACCACTTACCTGTTTAACATGTCCTTAATTGGTAGTTTTTCCCGAGACTGCTACCTTCTAACCCTTAGTGTACTATTTTGAAATTAATTCTCGCTATAACAACGTCATGTATGGACCAACTCCTTGAGTGTAACAAGGTCATATCACCCCCTGGGGGCTAAATTTCTTCCTAATACAAATCTGATCCCACTAGACCTATGATTATGCGTGTTAAATTCCAACAAACCGCAACAATGACGCTGCCACCACAGTTACGCCTTCTGTGTCGAGGCAAAATAGGCGAGGAAAGGCCTAATTTACGCCACTTACACATTCAAAACTACACGGGATACCTTAGCTATTGATGAACTATTCATTGATTCTCGTTGAATTACGCATTGATTGCACCAAAAATTGCAGTTACAGAGGCAGAAATGTTTCTAACATTCAGTCCTCATGAAGAACCTTCATAAAAGCTTGGCACTCCAAAAATGAGAACACAAAATATGTGTACCCTATAGAGTACCCACCAACAGTTGCAAAGTTATCCTTGCCATTGAAAATTCGACTGAATGCTATATCGTGCACAGGCTTATCATGAGCAATTAGCTGTGTCTTCACACTAAATGAAATCGGACGGATTAAGCCAACCGCTTGCTGTGCCTGAAAAAAATCAGGGAAAAGGAAATCTTTCACTTTAATCAATGTCTGTATATTTACTAACTGCTTACCTCAACATCGTAAATGGTGCATGTGGTGTCAATACTTGAGGTACCTATCAGTCTTGGTTCCACTTCATTCCAATCGAAATTGGTGAGGGGAGCAGTGAATTGTGAGGATTTATTCTGAAATCAAACAGCATGACAAGATGGAAAATTCGAATAATCTTTCTAAATGCACAATTCAAAACAACAGAGCTACAACTACTGCCAAAACTGTACTAGTTTGACTAGAACGTACACTGCTCAAAGTGGCTTCCTCTGTGACAGAATTATTCGAATGTATCCTCCACAAACGAAGAAAATCCGCGCTTGTGGCTAACAAATCAGGATACCTGTTTTCCTATAAAAATAGCATGAGATCGATCGGCGTCAATCAATATATTGCTTCAGGAAACGAAGAACTTCCTGAACTCACCAAGTCCGGAATGAATCCTATTTGGTTTGGAGGAAATTCATGTCCAAAACTGCCTCTCTCAACTAAAGAACCCAGGGCTTCGTCTAACTCAATAAGGGTTACCTAAAATAGTATTGCAACAAATGCAAAACGATTAATTTCAATAGGAGGAAGCGAAATTTGCGCGACTAGAAGAGGAAGTGAAGCACTCACATTATTTCCTTGCTCACGCTCCACAATACTACCTACCGCCAAGCGGAACCTCCTATCGTTCTTATTCGCCCATGCGGCAGCGAAAAGTGGCTTTGGACCAGAATATCTAGGAAACGACATCAATAAACTAGAGTAGATGACTATATCCATTTTATACGCCCCGAGTTATGGCGAGGTAAGATAAATGTAAGCCAAATCTGGACTACATATATGAAAGAAAAGAACTTGATAAATGCGGAAAAAAGAACCTAATAGGTTCTAGCTTTTGAAAAAGTAGTTCAGTTCTCCAAGCTATTGAGCTATCAAGAAATCTCGAAAAAGGTTAGTTTTGTAAAACGGAGGAAAAAGTATTAAAAGCATCAAAATGGAAAAGAAACGGATCCCAAATTCCCAAAATAGTTAAATGCCCAGCGAGTCAAATTAAGACAGTGAAAGACAGAATGTTGCTCTTTAAGTCAACTGAAAAAAGTACCGGTATATCTCGCTTCTTCTGGTATCCCTATGAGCAATTGAATTGGTTTGAGGAACTGATGGGTTACTTGTTTGTGCTTGAGAAGTCTGCGCGACAGTTACTGTTGGTCCTGAAATTATTCATTATAAAAATGAAAGGTTGGACGCGATGTTTAAATAGAACTAACCTGCTTGACTTTGTGGGGTAATGGGTGGCGGTGGGCCGGGGGTTTGACTATTTTCTTTCGAGGTAGCTGATGACGGATCACGGGGCTGACCATTCACAACAGCAACAGATGACATGGGAATCTTTGATAAGAATGGGGATTTTAGCGCTGAAAAATCATAACAGTTTAGAAGGTGCTTAACGATATGCCAAAAGTGCCTCGAACTAGCCATTTAAAAATCTTTATCCATCATAAAAACATTGTTGCTAATGCTTTCTTAACAGGGGTATGACCATTGCGCCTAGCGAAAAACTCAAAGCTAGAAGTCCAAATTTTTAATCGTTGGGAGCCGTTGCACAATATGACAAGAATAAGGAGACGGAACAAAAGTCATAAAAAATTCTAACAATTTCTAATCATCAAAATCAGGCTTTTGTAAAATAAACACCGCATTTGAGAACTGTCACCTCTTCTATATCAAACCTGATGGCAAAAGAGCTTTGCGTGAAGAACAAAAGGCGACAACTTCACAGTCACCCAGCCTCATAATTTATATACAAACTCTTGTTATATAATGATGCACTGGTTCTCCAAAAAACAGAAGAGAGGTTTGAAAGGCATTTAGTATCATTATGTAATAGAGTTTTGTGGGCATTTAATCGCATTTCTGCAGTATTGCTTAGCTGTTTTTGGTGGAATTGGAATATCAGCCTCACAAAAGAAATGGGCAGACTCGAAATAAGACACCACAAAACTAAACGGTTGAAATGTCCACTGCCTTACATACGGATGGCAAAATTCCCCATCAGCACAACTTCACTTACAGCGAGTACACTCACACATCTTATTACCATTTACTGGAAAGAAGTAAGAACAAACAGGCACCTCTAAAGAAACTAATCCCAATTAACTAAAACAGTACGAAAATGAAAATATAATCCCACACCCGATCAATAAGCAAGTGTGTAAACTTACCCTCGGAATGCGCACAAGTGCGACCAGAACACCAGCACTGACGCACTTTTGAGACTGGTGAGACATCTGGATATTTGAGCTCTGCGTCTCTACCTGCAAAATGTTCGACAGAAGGGTTACAGGGGACGAAACATTGGTACGTCGGGAAACGCACGCGGCAATATGTGCGGAGAAGTGAATCGTCACATGGGTTCCTTATAACGAACACATGAATGTGCTTATGAGCTGCTTCAACTTGGGCTTCGTCTCTGTTTTGTGTACATGCTTCATGTGACCGTGGTAAACGCTAGACTCGTCCGAATCGCTACGAATTTCGCCGTGCAGTTTGCAGCATGCATCTCGGACGAGAAGAATGCTCCTTAATCTTCTATTCCAGTGGGACCTTGTGGGAGATCCTAAAATTTGCGTGTTATGGGCAAAAGGAAAGCAAATTAGTTGCTTGTCTCAGTTCACACATCCATTAACTATCCTTTGTATATACAAAGGGCTCGCGTCTGTCTGTCTGTCGCGAAAATCAATCTCACCTGAAGAAGCACCTGGAGAGGTCCGATTAATTTTGGAATGGATTGAGCACAGGATTCGACACGAGGGGGCGGGGCATATGCAAAAGCTTCCAATTTGGTCTCATAGTGGTCATACGCTGGAAAAAAATTGAGCAAAGGTGAAGGATGGGTCAAAAAATTAATGAATGAGACCTACCACCAGCGCGTTCTCGCAGTGAGCGGTACTTTCCGCACAGGTTCATAACTCGATTCAACGAAGATTTGGAAACCAAAGAAGAAATAAAAGGAGAGAGCAAGGCCTTAGGCGAGCTGGGCATGCGTAAACTTAGAGAAGCTCCGCCCACGATGAGCGCGGGCGTGATTTCAATGAAACTGCTTTTCACAAATAAATATATTGGGTAGCCCGAAAAGTTTCCTCCGATTTTGTACACCCTCGGTTCATCAACCGTTGTACAAAAGATCTAGGACCCAACCTCATAGAGTTACATGATTTCTGAAAGAGTATGTCCTCCCCTATATTCCTGCTACAATTCTCTTAAAGGCACTGTTCGCGAAAAAATGGCTTCGGAGATCTGCACATGGTTTGAATTCGACGTCCCCTCTGATACTGTTTGTGCAGGAATGAGGTCGGAAAACGGTCTGGATAGGGCACAATAAGGGC